TTAACTCCTTAAGGACATTGACATTTTTTATATAGATTTCAATTAAACGTAAAAAATACTTAAAACAGAAAAAAAACGAAAGAAATGCGTTTATTTTGAAGAAAAAGCTTTAAATTTTATTTTCCTTTGTTTCGCCTGTCTGTGAAATGTAACACCGATGAGTCATTGTTTACACAGCTGGGTGACCTTGAACACAGCTGGAGTCCGATTTCCCGGGACATTCTCATAGACGTCTCGGGAGGACAAGGGTTTAAAGTAGGGTGACTATAAGCGACACAGAAATTTTTAAATATTTTTAAAAAATTCAAAATTTTATTGCGATTTCCGACCCCCCCTAATTAATTAATTATATATTTATAAAAATATATTAATTAAAAAAATTAAAAAACCATCGGAGGTCGTTTTTGACATCAGAAACTAACTTTAAATAACTTTACTGAATGAAAATCCGTGCGCTACAACTTAAAAACCATGAAATAATTTTGATAAAAAACTCCCATTAAAAAACAATTAAGCCTTAATCGAGCCTTCACATAGGCTCATTAAAATCGCGATAAAATTTTTTTGCGCGGGAAAAAAATTTTGAAAAAATTCCGGGACCTAAAAAACATTCCGAAAATTCAAAAAAAAACAAATTTCAAGGCCTTAAGGACCTCATTTTATGTAACGTTATGTAACTTGCCCGAGATATCTCGGGTTATGGGCTTAAGGTGTTAGGAGCCAGGTTAACAAGGAGCTTCTGCTGTAAAAAAAGTAGATCATACAATCTTTTTATATATTTTATGATTCTCGATTAATTTATATTGAAATTAACGTTCATTATAATTTAATTAAATAAGACTTATTGTATGTATATGATATTTTCTTCTTTTACAGAGAATTTTCAGCATTCCATATTTATTTACAAATCCTTTCTTCATCATTGTAACAATAGCGATGTTGTGGAAATATTATGGATGGACTATTTTAATAGGATTCTTGGCCGTATTTCTTTTCATTCCAATACAAATTGCTTTGAGTAAACTATATTCAAAACTAAGGTAACTATTATTTCAAATTACATAATTTCATTGTGTCTACTGAGAAAAAAAAACAAATCAAGCAATACTTAATGATTATTGATGAAGATTTAGTTCTAATATTAAAAATGTATATAAGTTTGTATGCTTAATCGAAGTTTATGCTATGATAATAGCAAACAAGTGACAGGAGTGGTGATTTTAACCATTTCAATTTTGAATAATATTAATAAAATAACGATAATCAGAAAGGGTTGAAATTTTTTTCTTTCTTTGCTTTTTATGGATAACGTGTCAAACAACAACATTGTCAACAACAAATTTGAACTGAAGAGAGTGTATTGAAAGATATCAAGAATTATTTTTAAAAAATGAAATTTTTCAATTTCTACTTGAGATTATTCGATAAATTTAGGATTATGGCATTTTCCTATAGCTTCACGTATTAACTGTAGAATTTGAAATGTTTTTATCAGTTTTTTCCATCAGAAAGTGACAAATATGCATCAAATGGAACAGATGTATTTGACGAAGAAACCTTTTAAAATAGGGAAATAGTTTAATATAATAATTATTTAAATTATATTTGTTACTTATTTATTAAATATTGCAAAGATAACAATGCTTTTTAATATATTTGTTGCAATAACAATTTTTTAAATATTATCTTATCTTTGACACCGGAGAAATTCGATGTCTAAATAACTGTAGTTCATGTTTTTAAAAAATTTTTTTTCTATCCATCTACCTTTAAATAAAAATAATTCGTTATACGTTATGAAATAATGTAATACATTTTGTAAATTACTATGTTCGATCCACTCAGTTATCGCCGATGGTTTTTCATCTATAAAATTTAATCCATGAATTTTTCTGCTAGTAAAATTGACTTGCCATTCATCTTTCGCCGATAATTGTTACTTTTTAACAGAATCTATATAAATGACAATTACAGCTTCTATGGGACTGTGTACTGCTTTTATGGCCAACTTTCGAAAATTATTTCATGACTGTTCGGATCAGCAGACGATATTTATTATTATTTGTTTTTATTTTTTATTTTTTAAATTTTTTTATCGTTTCTCTTTCCCTTAAAATTGTTTCCTATTTCTTTTTTATATTTTTACTATTCTTGTTACAATGGCAATTACTGAATCATTCGATGAAAAAAAGGCTATCAAAATTAGAGCCATAGCAAAAAAAACTGTCTTATATTCAAAAATTCCTAAAAAATTTCGATTCAGATAGGCGCAAAGTGCAGGAACTCAGAGTAAGGCTAAATTCTTTGCCTAAAATTTTGAAAGAATACGATCAAATTCAAAATCAACTTGATGTTAACTCTGAAGATCCGGAGCAACATAATTATACAGATAGGGAGGAATTTATAACAAGTGCCACTCTCTAGAATCACAATTAAATACGCTCGTTGATTCCAGATCAGGGGGCATATTCTAAGTAGTATCGTTAAACTAACGAATACGATAAAAACCAGTTACTATGAGAACCACGTGACTCGCGTTTAATCAACAGTGAAAATGCTATTTCCACCCGTACGTTTGGTTTTGATTCCGTTAGCCACGTGCGATAACTAAGCTTTTGTTATCGATCACTCTCGAGCTGCCGTTAGGAAAGTAACGAAAGTGAAAACAACACGGCGTCTTTTGGTGTAAGAATCATTTTACTTCAGGAGCAATTAGAGAGAGAGTTGATAAACTATGTTGTTTTATTACTTACTAGCAGACCCCGCCATGCGTTGTTGTGGCTCAAAATGTATCTATTATAAATGTATAACACTTCCCCCGTAGGTAGGAATTTTTCGAAAAATTTCTTTTTAGTGTACATTCTCTTGGCGTATCCTATTAAAACGCAATCAAAAATGCAAAAACCCGCATCTAAAATATAGTAGACCCCTATAAAACGGATTCCTATAATTACGATTCCTATAAGACAGCGAAAAAATTGCGACGGTATCCGTAAAAAACGGTAAAATAACTCCTATAATTACGTAAAACGTCATTGGGAAGCCGAACTATTTTCCGCGCCGTCAAGCGCCACGCTACAGAGAGATTACTATCGTCTGTATAGTATTATATATAAATTATATATAAATTAGGTACTGTANTATCATAGTAAAATCTCTTTTGGAATATCACAAGATTAATAAATTGAATTGTAAATTTTGATTATAATTATTTTTTACTTTTTAATCAAATGGTATTCAATATTTTCAGAAAACGTTACAATTCGATGTCCAAGTTCTGAGGTTGCATGCACAAAACCTGTAAAGCACAATTTGTAAAATTAAGCTGTCACAATTTATGAACCGGTTTTTGTGACAGCTTGCTTTTACATTGATTTTGTAGAATCAAGATGTCACGGATACTCGTTAAATTAATAAATAGTGCAAGAATATAATTGCAAATGTGATTCAATTTCAATGACAAATTTTAGAATTTTTTAAACTGTTGTTTACAATGCTGCTTTTCCGTATATGACTCGACTAATATTGTGAATATATGTGTCTTTTCTTTAAACTGTTTCCTCTCTGTGTGCACTAAAAGTACCTTTTTAGCAAGCCTATCATGGGTTTGACCATGCTCTCAGTAGGGCAGCTGTATGGCGAAGGTCAGAGGTTAATATATATGCTCAAACACAACTAAGAAATCCTTGAGATTTTTCAGCCTCGTGCTGACTGTGGGTGTGTCTGTTTTTTTCTTACCTTTGCATGCGTATAATATATAAACAGTATATCTCTGAATATACCTCACACCATTGAGTTTTAAGAAATAAAAATTATGAAAATCCTAATTAAGTTTAGCAGAATATTTGTCCATAATACTTAAATTAATATATTAATTTACATTCTACTGAATATAGATCGTAAAAACAAGTAAAATATCTAATTGTTTAACATTATAAAATATGTAATAACATCTTTGATAGTGTCAGAGCATATAGTAATATAAAAAAATAATTACCTTAACTATTTATAAATATTGTATGAATAATGTAATTGCTTTCTTGTTAAAATTTAAAGTAAGTAGCTATAGCATGAACATTATTTCTGAAATAAGTTTCCTTCGCGTATGTATAAATTAAAATGATAACTTTCATAAAATTAACAAGCGTCTCGAACTGGCAATTTGTAGTTCGCTTGCTTCGTTATCCTTTCTTCGACATTTTTTAACAAAATTATTTCACTGGCGCTGGTACACGAAAATGCTAAAACCACGTGCTTCGCTTAGAAAATGGCTTGTTGCTGTCATGTGACAAAAAAAATTAATTTTTGACAATGTTAATTCAACTAAACTGTCAGTAGTTAAAGCGTAATAGCTATCGATACCTTGGAACCCAGACGCAGCTCGGCAGACTACCCGTAGCGAACCCCACTTAACTTGGAGCGCAAAATAGCGATTTGTCTAAGGTTTGTTAACTGCGTTTCGCTAAGGGGACTTATCGAATGTCCCGTGTATCGCTCTCGTTGAGTTATCGGAAGAATTCAGAATAGGTCCCTAGGACTTTCTTCACCTCCGGAGTCTGTTCATTCTAACTCTAGAAGTCCTTTGATAAAACTATCCACTATCAATATTCCATTCTTTGATGGCAATGTTAGGCAATTGATTAAATTTATGGGTATTTTTAAAAGTTTAATTTTAAACAATGAAGCCGTAAGCAAAATTCAAAAATATTATTACTTAGTTTCTTTCGATAAAGAGTTAACCTAAAGGTTTATTGGATAGTTTTTTAACACAGAAGATAACTTTCATACTACTTGGGATCTTCTGATTCAATATTATAATAATAATAAGGTTATTACAGCAAATTATGTTAAGGAATTATTAAATTTGTCAAATGTAAAAAGTGGCAGTAGCAGTGAATAAAGGTTTCTTGTAAATCAAGTAACTAATAATAAGAGAGCTTTGAAATTACTGAATCCTGAAATCCCCATTCATGATATAATTCTTGTAAAAACTGTTTTGGACAGATTAAAACGGCAAGACAGGCAAGAATGGGAGCTGAAGACTGCTACTGATAAATTTTATTTCTTTGAAGAACTAGTTACTTTCTTAGAAGCTAAGGCACAGGCACTAGAAATTGTTGAATTTAGACACCGTGCTAATTGTATAAAAAAAAAAACAAAACCAAATTAACTATTAGTAAGTCATTGACTACTAATGTGAATAGTGAAATTTGCAATTACTGTAATAAGTCTAAACATGCACTCCAAGAATGTAGACAATTCAATGCAATTAGAATTGAAAAAAAAAATTTACTTCGAAGTAAGAACGTCTGTTTTTGTTGTTTAAAGCGGAACCACGCATTTTCAAATTGTAGGGCTAAATTTATTATTTTTAAGGGCAAACATAATCAACTGTTTAATGTTGACAATATTAAATTGAGCAGTACTACTCATTACTCTGTTAACTTAATGCTATAATCAGTCTACATTCATATTTTTACAAAATGGCGTTAATTACGTGCGATACATAAAGGTAAGGCTCCATCGAAATTGATACAGATTCTATACTACAGGGTTGCTTGTACTTCATCTGTGAGAATCCAGCGTTGTTTTTGTTATCATATCGGCATGTAATAGAAATTGTATGTGTTGCATTTTCTGGGACTCAGAGGCTTAGGATTTTATTGATTATCTCGATATTTAAAAAAAAATGAAGAAAAATCGAGTTTTTTAAATTTGCTTGACATTTTTGAGAAACTACGTCCCTAATGGATTGTTCACCACTGCAATTTTTAAATCTTGTTGTTATCAATTATTTTTCAAAAGCCAAATTTTCGACTTTAATGGCTTCAAAAAGTAATCATTACATGGATTGTATCATAGTAAAATCTCTTTTGGAATATCACAAGATTAATAAATTGAATTGTAAATTTTGATTATAATTATTTTTTACTTTTTAATCAAATGGTATTCAATATTTTCAGAAAACGTTACAATTCGATGTCCAAGTTCTGAGGTTGCATGCACAAAACCTGTAAAGCACAAATTGTAAAATTAAGCTGTCACAATTTATGAACCGGTTTTTGTGACAGCTTGCTTTTACATTGATTTTGTAGAATCAAGATGTCACGGATACTCGTTAAATTAATAAATAGTGCAAGAATATAATTGCAAATGTGATTCAATTTCAATGACAAATTTTAGAATTTTTTAAACTGTTGTTTACAATGCTGCTTTTCCGTATATGACTCGACTAATATTGTGAATATATGTGTCTTTTCTTTAAACTGTTTCCTCTCTGTGTGCACTAAAAGTACCTTTTTAGCAAGCCTATCATGGGTTTGACCATGCTCTCAGTAGGGCAGCTGTATGGCGAAGGTCAGAGGTTAATATATATGCTCAAACACAACTAAGAAATCCTTGAGATTTTTCAGCCTCGTGCTGACTGTGGGTGTGTCTGTTTTTTTCTTACCTTTGCATGCGTATAATATATAAACAGTATATCTCTGAATATACCTCACACCATTGAGTTTTAAGAAATAAAAATTATGAAAATCCTAATTAAGTTTAGCAGAATATTTGTCCATAATACTTAAATTAATATATTAATTTACATTCTACTGAATATGGATCGTAAAAACAAGTAAAATATCTAATTGTTTAACATTATAAAATATGTAATAACATCTTTGATAGTGTCAGAGTTCTTTGTTTCAAAGGACATGGTCATTCAACAAAAATAAACTGAAAATGTACAAAAATTAAAATTTAACAAAAATTACAATTTAACATATTGTGACAACAATAAAAAATATAATAACTTGAAATTTAAATCAATAAACATATACTTTAACTGTAAGTTTTCTAAAAATTATACAAACTTTAAGTAAACTAAATATAGAAATTCCAAAAATGTTTCTAGTTTAATAAAAGATTATCCTTATATAGTTGACACATTTACTTTTTAATTTTATATATTTTAGAACAAAGCATATGTAAATTTGAATCATTATTCCATAATCATAGATTACAAGCAGCTATATTGGGCGACGAAAGATTAAATCTGTTGAACGAGATGATTGCTGATATGAGATTACTTAAGATGTACACCTGGGAATTGCCGTATGCTGCATTAATAGAGAAAATCAGAAAGTAAGTTTAGTAAGTTGTGATAAATACTGTAAAACTTGTAAAAAACAAACTGTATAAAGTGCTTTCCGACGAAAACGGAAAAATTTTTCCAGAATGAATTTTTTTCTACATAAAGAAACTGCTGTTGTAAATACATTTTGACACCATAAAAAATATTCTATTCTACTTGATATCGATTTATGCACTTTTACTGTATTTTTTCAAACTATTATTCTTAAAGTAATCATTTTCAGGTTGTAAAATCAGTATTAGTTAATTATTTTTTATATTTTCAGGAAAGAAATGAAAAAAGTTCGAATGTTTTTATGTGCAAGGGAATTATTACAAATATTGGGATATCCTATATCGAAATTATTTATTTCGATCACATGCCTTGCATTCTTTCTAAATGGAGGAAAATTAAATGCCCAAATTGTATTTGTCACTATGGCTTTTTTCTTTTACATCTTCCACAAAACGTTTACGCTATGTTCTATAGCAGTGAATTTAGTGGCAGAAATTTTTGTTTCATTAAAAAGATTTCAGGTAATGAACAATTTCAAAACATATTGTTTAAAAATGTTTTTACTAAAAAATTAATTTACAAATTATATTAAAATATTCATATTTATTTAAGCAAATAATTATTATTACGATAAATTATAATTTTATAAATAAATTCTGAAAAAAAGAACAAGCACGTTTAAACAAAAAAAATTATTCATACAAATCGATTTTCTAAGTATAATTCTATAATTAAACAGTAAATTAAGATTATATTTGAAGACAGAATTTGTGAATGTTACCATTCAGCATGAGAAACAGTTGAAAGTTTTCAGAAACACAACGTCAGTAGTAGTGGTTTGACACATACTGATCACAAAATTAATTTCATGAGTAAATTTCAAATAAAAATTTGTTGAATGGAATTATTTCAGATCACAAA